AGGATCTGCTCTACTGTTATAAAGATCTCATTGATTTACATCACAAGCAGCAGAATTTCATTACTTTTGTCCATATAAATGTCAGCATCTGAACCAAATTGCATATTTTTGCTCAGTTTGAATCTCTGAATGAAACAGATGTTTTTTCCTCCATATTCTCACTCTATCAGACTATATGAGCCAGAAAAGCCTGATGGATCAAATATGATACTTGATACAACACATATGCAAACACACACACACACACACAGACATACATATACACACTCTAAAGGTTCAATAAACGGTTCCAAAAAAATTTTTTTTTCATTATTTCATTTCAGGGTTAAAACACCTTCCTCTATTTGCATCTTTAAATAAATTGATAAACCCAAGAGGTTCACAAACTTTTTCCGACAAAGATATTTAGATATAAACAGTCGTTTGCAATTTTTAAAAACATCACATCACACTTACAAATCATTTCTAGCTGGATATAAATAAATAAATAAAAATACTTCAGAGCATATTTACCATAGGAATTTCAATGACTTTTCCAGAACACAGTATTAAAACTCACTTATATTTCCAGGTTTTCCAAGACCACAGAAACCCATTTTGTATAATTGTGTATTATTTAATACGGCTCTTTTTTATCTCGTTACAGAATCTGTATTTTTAGTTTAACTCAGAACTGTGCAAGTCAATTTGGGAAGAGTTTGTTTACTAATTCATACAGGTTTGGATCAACTTGTGGGAGAGTAAAAGATGACCGAAGTCTCATTTTTGGGTGAACTGTCCCTTTAAGGGTTCACTAACTTTCTAGCGTGACTGTATGCTGCTAGTAAGCATTTGGTTGAAGCATCCTGCGTGTTAGTGGTTAAACCTGTGCTTTACAGGACAGAAATCAGCGCACTGCAGCACAGCTCGTGTCTAAACATGTACTGAAACACTCACAGCCTGACAGTCGCATACATACTACATACTACATACTACAGTGCGCACTTCGGCGTCGCTCTAGGAAAAAAATGGCAGACGAGGATTTCGGATTACACGACACGACACACACCCAAACCATCTGAAACACACCTCTGAATCAGGAAACATTTGTAACATTCGGCATTGCTTTGCTAAGAATCACCTAAAGAACATCGCTCCACGCGGATTCATGCACAAAACGTTACATTGTGACACTATCAAGAGCGCGCTGGAAACGCAACAAACGCGCGGTATATTGACGTTTTAACGCAGTAAAAAGAGTGTAAATGCTAAACTTACTGGGATGTGTGTGATGCGCTGATTGGAGCTCGTGAGTTTGGACTGAATGAGGAAGTGGAGGGCGGTGTGTCACTGTGGGTGGGACCCGATCCTGCCTTTACATCCCAAACAATACACAGCCCTGTCATTACGTGTTTGTGTAACCCTTTCATGCATGAATGATTAAATCACAAAGTAATATTTTTTATATATGTTTGTTTTTACTTTTTAAGCAAGTGAAAATCAAGTCAATATATTATGATACATAAGCCAAAGCCATTTCTTTTTTGAATACTGCAATAACTTGAACTGAATATCATGTGCAATGTTTTTTTATGCTAAGCCATGTCTTGAATACTGCAATAATGTAACTGAACATCATGTGTAATGTTTTGTTGATTTATGTCTCACATTTGCAAAAAAAAAAAAAAGAAGATCCCTTGCATCCCCAGACACCTCTTTACTTCAGGCAGACGCCTGAGAGCTATTAAAACTAAGTCTACACATTTTCTGAATAGCACTTATTGTAAGACTAGCTCGTGTCTAAACATGTACTGAAACACTCACAGCCTGACAGTCGCATACATACTACATACTACAGTGCGCACTTCGGCGTCGCTCTAGGAAAAAATGGCAGACGAGGATTTCGGATTACACGACACGACACACACCCAAACCATCTGAAACACACCTCTGAATCAGGAAACATTTGTAACATTCGGCATTGCTTTGCTAAGAATCACCTAAAGAACATCGCTCCACGCGGATTCATGCACAAAACGTTACATTGTGACACTATCAAGAGCGCGCTGGAAACGCAACAAACGCGCGGTATATTGACGTTTTAACGCAGTAAAAAGAGTGTAAATGCTAAACTTACTGGGATGTGTGTGATGCGCTGATTGGAGCTCGTGAGTTTGGACTGAATGAGGAAGTGGAGGGCGGTGTGTCACTGTGGGTGGGACCCGATCCTGCCTTTACATCCCAAACAATACACAGCCCTGTCATTACGTGTTTGTGTAACCCTTTCATGCATGAATGATTAAATCACAAAGTAATATTTTTTATATATGTTTGTTTTTACTTTTTAAGCAAGTGAAAATCAAGTCAATATATTATGATACATAAGCCAAAGCCATTTCTTTTTTGAATACTGCAATAACTTGAACTGAATATCATGTGCAATGTTTTTTTATGCTAAGCCATGTCTTGAATACTGCAATAATGTAACTGAACATCATGTGTAATGTTTTGTTGATTTATGTCTCACATTTGCAAAAAAAAAAAAAAGAAGATCCCTTGCATCCCCAGACACCTCTTTACTTCAGGCAGACGCCTGAGAGCTATTAAAACTAAGTCTACACATTTTCTGAATAGCACTTATTGTAAGACTGTTCATGCTCTTAATTCCTCTAGTACTTATGCATCTGTATTTCACTCCCTGTAATTGATAGAACACATATGTATAGATTTATTTATGTATGTGAATGCATTTATGTACGTATGTATTTCAATGCCTACTTGTTTTCTAATAAGTAATCCAAAAGTTGCTACTTTTAGTCTGTAGCAGTCATATTTCACAGCTAACAGAAATATGTTCTAAGAATATTTTGCAAACTTTCCCATATTATGAAAAACACTTTTAAGTTAAAAACGTCAAATTTTTGTAAATGTGTTTTTTTTTCTTTGTTATACAGACGTTAACATTCCAGTTTATCATTTTGCAAACATTATGGGAACGTCATCTGGAATGTTCTCTGAACGTTCTGAAACATAGTAACTCTAGTAACATTAAACAACTTCAGACAATCTTCTAACCAAAAAGTTTAGGGAAAAAGTTCCATGAACAACGTATGAATTATGTTTCTGTGCTCACTTTTTGAGAACATTGTTAAAGACCAGATCACTTTAAACAAACGTTCTATTAACATTAATGGAATAATGTTAGTTCACGACTTTGAGAGAATCTTGCGAGAACATTCGGAGTTGTTTCCTGTGTTATGCCTTTGTATCAACTTCCCAAAGAGTGAAAAGCAACTCTTTCAATCAGTTTTTGTAAGGATGCCAGACATCTGAACATATTATAGCCTAATATTTGTGTACCTCATGGACAACTTTTTTACATTTGGTTTTAATGAGTGCAAAAACTGGTTTGTGTGGCAAACCTATATCCTATAAAATAAGAGAGAAAAGCCTCTTCACAGACAGTTCATGACTAATACTGACCATGACATTGAATTTGAAAGAACGTGGCTGTTGTCCAACCCAGACAAACAAATAAAGCATTTGCATGAAAACAACAGACGCTTCTTCTCTTCCTCCTGTGTCACGTGACTCACGTCTTTCCCGACCTCTCACTCATTCAGATGAGCATGTATAGCAATAAAAGAGTCGTATGGGTTTGGCTTCAGAAGCGTGTGAACAGCAGTGGAAAAACTGGTCATGTTTACGTCAGGTGCGTCCTGACCGCTGCACATCATCTGCTTCCAGATAAAGGAGGGAAACACCATTTCTAAGAATTTCCAAGGCTTGCCCTGAGCTTTACAAAACTCCACCATCTTTAAAACCATAATAAATCACATTTTAGAACGACTTTAATTCCTCCGTGTTTCCTACAATATGAAATCATATTTATGTTAATGTGTAGCCTAATGTAAATATGAAACAAGCTGTTCAGGGAAAGTAAAAACACACACCAAAAGACACACCCACAGACACACACAGAGACAAAGGGATTTTCATATAGTTTCACATTTCACAGAGTTCAGCTGCTTTGCTTTCAAAAGCCTGCAACAGATTGACATGAACAGCAGAGGGCAGAATCTACACCTGATCACATTGAGTCAGGCTCGGATTTTTATTTCAATGATTTAATCAAACTGAGTCACATAAATCTGACACCACAATAAAACACCCTGGGATTCAAAATATGAATTTTAAAATGAAAATGTTAGCAAAATTTTAGAAAAACAGTTACAGTTGTAGACTAATAAAACATAGGTCAATTTGTGACTGATATACAAGACAATACAGTGTAATGTAATTGCAATTTATTATGATTATTACACGCATACATTTACCATGGTACAGTTTTTGTAAGGATGCCAGACATCTGGATGTTTTATAGCCTTTTGGAGAACTTTATTGCATTTGGTTTTTACGAGTGCAAAAACTGGTTGTGTGGCTGATTTATATTATATAAAACAACAGAGAAAAGCTTCTTGTTCATCTTATGATGACACACACACACACACACACACACACACACACACACATATATATATATATATATGTAATTAATAATTTAATTAACATGTTAAAATATGTTAACAAGCAAACAAATAAAAACAAATATGAAGTTATTAACTCTAGGATGTCTACGTTACGTTTTTACACATAAACAACTAAAAGTTAATTTGCAAACTGCTCCAAAATTGTTCATTTTAATAAATCATGAATTAAGTTTTTTTTTAATGATATCTCCGTAAAATGTGAAAGGGTCTCAGCTCATAAATATTAATTAGTTCGTGCTGACGCGCTTTGGAATCCTCGAAATGGGAAAGTGCGTGTTTTTGAATATTAATTATAATATGATTACGTTTCTTGGTAACCTTCCAATGGCGACTCCACAGCTTATGAATATACATGAGCCGTCCGTCCAGCGCAACAGGATTGGTAACTTGCGCTGAATATGTGGCTTAACTTTCCTCCCCAGAGCTGCATGAACTGTCCCGGTTTATTCCGCAACAATGGGTTCAGTGTGAGCCGGTAACAGTGCCAGAGTCTGGCACACATCGACAAACAGGAAAATGAGTTTGGTTTCGGCTCTGGACGCGGTTTATCAGCCCGCACAACTTTTGAACTGGGTCTATCTGTCCCTCCAGGAGTCTGAGAGAAACGCGGCGTCTGATGGGAAATACAGCAGCAAACCAAAGGAGGATCTGGACTCACATCTCCACTCCAGCATCAGCATCAGAAGCAGCAGCAGCTTCATTCAGGAGCGCACAGAGGTGATGATCTATCTATCTATCTATCTACCTACCTGTCTGTCTGTCTATCTATCTATCAATCTGTCTATCTGTCTATCTATCTATCTACCTACCTACCTGTCTATCTGTCTATCTATCTATCTATCTATCTACCTACCTGTCTGTCTGTCTGTCTGTCTATCTATCTATCAATCTGTCTATCTATCTATCTATCAATCTGTCTATCTATCTATCTATCTATCTACCTACCTACCTGTCTATCTGTCTATCTATCTATCTATCAATCTGTCTATCTATCTGCCTGACTGCCTGCCTATCTATCTATCTATCTATCTATCTATCTATCGACAGGAGTTCAGGTGAACTTGTAAACTTATTCAGTGATTTTAAATGTCAGTGTATTGTACAATTTTTACTTTTAGATATTGTTTTCAAGTTTTTACTTTTAGATTTTTCAAATATACCTTTTAATATACATTTTAAATAGTTCAAAAATGGACACTTTTTATTCCATTTGTTTTTGTAATGTTCATTTTAAAGGGATCTATCTATCTATCTATCAGTCTATCTGTCTATCTATCAGTCTATCAGTCTATCTATCTATCTATTTATCTATCTATCAGTCTATCTGTCTATCTATCTATCTATCGACAGGAGTTCAGGTGAACTTGTAAACTTATTCAGTGATTTTAAATGTCTAGACAGCAACGCAACTGAAACATTCAAGGCCCAGAAAGGTATGAGGACATCGTTAAAATATTCCACGGGACATCAGTGCTTCAACCGTAATGTTATGAAGCTACGAGAATACTTTTTGTGCGCAAAGAAAACAAACATGGTGACTTTATTCAACAGTTTCTTCTCTTCCGGGTCAGTCTCCGCTGCGCATTATAGTTACAGGAATATATTCTAGTCCTGCAGAATTGGATGCATTAGAAAAACATGCACAAAACTTCTGCCTTCGTCCACAGATACATTCACACTGCCTTCCCTGAATCATTTAGAGTGGCTGTTGGTGATAAACAGCGGGAGTTCTGGGTTAACAAGCACACTTTGTTACTGTAGAGCTCTATCATGTGTATTTGTGCAGAGAAATGTGTGCTCGTTTTATGAGCCAAGTTTTATGTGTGTATTGATGAATTACCACTTACTTTGGCACAAATAAACCAGACTGAATGAAAAGCAGTTTTTGCTGAAGAGATTTGAAGCTTTAGTGGTTTGGCTCCACGTAAGCAATGTGGAAAAGTTCAGCATTTTTATTATAGGTGCATAAAATCAATGTTCTGGAAAATAATTTACAGAGATATGAGATACAATGAATGTATATCCCTGATGCATGTGAGAATTACACACACACATAATGTTGCATACTACTTTTACATACTGCAAACATACCTTTAAATGTTTGTCACTGCATATTGCATGCTATTAACTATGTCGTTTTTTAATAGTGTACAGTATATACTGCTTAATATATATAGGCAGTTTGCTAGCAATATTTCATTCCGAACAGCATGGACAATCTCATGAGAAAGAATGAGGAAAAGGGTTCGGAGAATCATGTGGCAAAGTTTGTCTTCCTGAGGAAAACGGAACATTCTCTCTCACGCAGATCATCTGCTGAAAGGAAATTAGACCACAGAAAACCACAAAAAACTATTATAAACAAGCAAAAACATAAATGTATACACAGAGGGAATCACTGGCAGTTTAAAGGGAGATTTATGTGACAGATTTTTTTATATCAACAAACAACCGTCTGATTCTGAGCATGTTAAGTTTTAAGTTTAATGCTTGGTCTATCTGTGTAAACAAGCAATACTTTACAGTGACTTTACAGTATACTGACACCTACTGGCAGTTTGGAAAAAATACGTTTTAACGTAACTTTTAAACTAAAAATGTACTTACCGACTGAGGGCATGTTAAATAATCTGAACTTTAAAAATATAAAAAGAAATTAAAAAAATTAAACATTCTTAATATTAAAAACTAAAACTATAAAGAAATTCTGTTACTAAAAAAAATATACATCAACTGAAATAGAATAAAATATAAAAAAACGTATTTTACTTCAGCTAGTTTCCAGACAATTCTCATTTTCGTTTAGTTTAACTTGACGTAGTAAAATAACAAAAACTAATAAAAATGACAAAAATACAATAAGATTAAAGTGAAAAAAAGAAAATATACAAATAAAACCTTTATTCAAAATATTAACAAAAACTACATCGTGATAGTAAAAATAACACTGATTCAAGGTATACATTTTTTTCAATTCATGCATTCCCTGGGAATCAAACCTATAACCTTGTGACCATATATTATATTTTCATATATAATTTATATATGATAATGCTTATTATATTCTTTTAAAAATCTTTAAAAAAACATATTCAAAATATAAACAAAAGCTATAATATTAAATAAATTATTCTGATTCAAGGTTTATGTTTTATCAGTTCATGCATTTCCTGGGAATTGAACCAATGACCTTGTGACCATATATTATATCTCATATATAATTAAAAAATGATAATGCTTATTAATTACATTGAAAACTTCGTAAAAGTTTCATGTGTTTTTTTCTCTCTACAGACTCTGTGTAGCCGCTTATATAAGGGCTCGTCTCCCTATGGCTCGTTAAACAACATCGTCGAGGGTCTGAGTTTGCTGACGGACAGCTTCTCTGACCTCTCGCTGACCTCTGAACCCAGAAAGCCCTGCAGGAAATCTCCACCCAACTACCTGTGCCACCTGTGCTTCAATAAGGGCCACTACATCAAAGACTGTCCGCAGGTAAACACTCACTGCTGCGCACCTGAGCTCAGCCACAACCTGCTTATCTAAACCTGTCAATCATAATGCACTGATATTGTTTTTATTAGACACATTATATACATAGTTCTACATATTATAGAACTGAGCTGAAGTTCTGCTCACTGATGGTTGAACCGCATTGCATCCACCTAGCAACACCCTTGTAAACACCTAGCAACCATCCAGAACCCCCTAGCAATTGCATAGCAACTACCTAGCAACACCCTAGAAACCACCCAGAACAGCCTAGCAACTGAATAGCAACTACCTAGCAACACCCTAGCAACCACCCAGAACAGACTAGCAACACCCTAGCGACCACCCAGAATACCCTAGCATAGCAAAACCCTAAAAGCCACCCAGAACACCCTAGCAACTGCATAGCAATATTTTAGTAACCGCTCAGAATACCCTAGCAACCGCATAGCAACCACCCTGGCAACTGCAAACCAACACCCTAGCAGCCACCTAACAACCAACCAGAACATCCTAACAACCTCCTAGAAACCACCCGGAACACCCTAGCAACTGCATAGTAATACTTTATCAACCACTCAGAGTACCCTAGCAACCACAAAGCAACCACCCAGCCAACTGCATAGCAACACCCTAGCAACAACTTAACAACCACCCAGAACACCCAAGCAATTGCATAACAACACCCTAGCAGCAACTCAGAGCACCCTAGGAACCAGTTCTATGATACCAATAGTGTGATTATCTGACCGTCTTTTACTGTAACTGACCTGCATTACAGAATTTTACCCACAATTCATTGTAGCAAGCACCACACCCGCATGTAGAGCCATAATGAGCACCAGATGAACCTTCTGTGTTTATGAAGATAATCCTGTTTCTTGCCTTTCATGACATCATTGGCTGTCATAGATGAGAAAAAGCCCCCTCGACACCAAATCCAGCCAAACACACATCAGTCAGCAGTTCGTCAGCTCCAGAAATGGAAGGAAAAACCTTTTATAGAAAGATGAAATGATTTAGATCTTTGCCCTCCACTAAATTTACTGTCACAGCATTTTAATCAGTCTCAGGTGACATGAGAGAAAAGATGATAACAAGAGAAGAAGAAGGGAAGGACGCTCTTCCGACAGCAGTTTAAATATGTGTGCGCAAAGCAGATGGATCTGGATCTGAGTCTGTCTAGACATTACCTTTGTTTAATTGAGTCACATGACGATTCCTGCTTTAAATCTAGACAATTAGATTGTGTTCCTAAAGAGCTCAAAACACACTTGTTGTCACGTTTATTTCAAAACATACAGAAAGAACTTCAGAACAGTTTCTCACTGGAGTTTCAGAGATTCATGACATTAAATATATTATTATAAAAGGTATAAGAGTTTGGATTGAGACAAGAAAATGAGTAGAACTGCATATTCTGCACACATTTTAGCTATTATCGGCAACCATCCAGAACCCCCTAGCAACCACCCAGAACAGCCTAGCAACTGTATAGCAACACCCTAGCAACCACATAGCAAGCACTCTGGCAACTGCATATTAGCAACACCCCAGCAACCACCCACAACATCCTAACAACTGCATAGCAACACCCTAGCAACCACATAGCAAGCACTCTGGCAACTGTATATTAGCAACACCCTAGCAACCACATAGCAAGCACTCTGGCAACTGCATATTAGCAACACCCCAGCAACCACCCACAACATCCTAACAACTGCATAGCAACACCCTAGCAACCACATAGCAAGCACTCTGGCAACTGTATATTAGCAACACCCTAGCAACCACCCAGAACACCCTAGCAACTGCACAGCAACACCCTAGCAACCACATCGCTAAGTCAGCAGTTGATGACGCAAAACATCACAAACTTTATCGATGTAACTAAACAACCGTCTGTAATGACAGATCTGCTCTGATTTGATATAATACATATATTTATATCTATAAAGAGTCGCTATCACAGATCCCTCTGATCTTTCACCATCTGTGTTCAGATGAGATCTTCTGACACTAATATGACACAGAATCTCTCATTATGTCGGTGTGTCCACTGCACACATCTCTGCTCCAGGAGTAGGTGGGAATTCATCCAGACGTTTTGTTGTTTTTGTTTTGCCTGCCCACCTGTCAGCGTCTGTCTCACTGAAACCCAACACTGGATCACAGCTGGACACGTCTGGCCGAGCCGCCACAAAAACTCCTTATGTCAGTTTTGCACAGTGCTTTTAACATTTAAACATGCAATAAAATGTTGTGCTCATACAATGCAATCTGGACCCAACATTACAATTTTACTATATATGGCTATTGAACTGTACCTTGCAATTAAAAAAAAAAATTACATAAAAAATTTATTAAAGCTGCAGTCCGTAACTTTTGGCACTCTAGCGGTTAATAAACAGAACTGCATGTGTCTTGCGGAAGAACATTGTAGCCAGAGCTACTTCTCTCTGTTTATGTCTGTGAAGAGTCACGCAGGTACTGGGGAAGATGCACTTTTTCACTGGAGGAAGCATTATTATGGATTACAGACTCGTATTTTAGTTAAAAGCGTCTTGATGCTGGATTTGTTTCAGCTTTTGTCTTCTCCAGATGTTAACTGATGGACTGGAGTGCTGTGGATTACTTGTGGATTATTGTGATGTTTTTATCAGCTGTTTGGACTCTCATTCTGACGGCACCCATTCACTGCAAACTCATCTATATCTTGGGTACATTAATTTTTGGTTGAACTATTTCTTTAACAGATTGTCACAGTGTTTGCTCTCTTTTATTCAGTTAAACCACTCTGATAATGTAAAACATCATCTGTGTAGGGAAACCCACAGAAATGTGAATATAATCCAGAACACAGAGAATGTAAATCTGTCATGCTGTGGGACGGGCAGGAATGACATTAGTGGGTGTTTGACAGAGACGTTACTGTACTACAGATACTGTCAGACATCCAACACCATAAAAAAATCATAACAGTCCATACAACTCATGCCATAACAAAATATCTTAATTCATAAAAAAAAAAAAATCTTTTAATGTCAGGGTTTAACCCCTGTAGTACCTGCAGTGCAATTATAAAAACAGCAATGTTTAAGAGCATATAAAAATATATAACTCCATTTATAATGCATGCACTCACACTTTGGCATTATTGTAAGGTTGGGTCACTGCCATCAGTGAGGTGTGTAGATTTAATTTATTGCATGTAGAGCAAAGGTTGGCTGCGGAAATGTTGGTTTTTGGACATATTAAAGGTTTAAAAAGTGTTATTGAAGAATACAGCCAGACAAAAGGGATCTCACAATAACTGTTAATTTATAAAGCAAGTCTAAAATTCTTTACTTGGAGGAATAATAATATTTCTCCTTCACTGTTCAAGCAGAGTAATAGAGTTTAATGTAATGTTTTACTAAAGTATCAACGTTGTCTCAGATGTTTCTGTTAAAAATTCCTAAGGAAAAATTAAAACAGACACAAATAAGATTTATTTTAAAAACTTGGTAATACACTAGCGTTCAAAAGGTGGTTGGTACGGTTGGTACGATTCTTCAAAAGAAGACTCACCAAGACTGCATTTACTTGATCAAAAATACAGTAAAAACAGTAAAAACAGTAAATATTATTACCATTTGAAATATATGTTTCCTATGTGAATATCTGTTAAAATGTCATTTATTTCTGTGATGCGCAACTGTATTTTCAGCATCATTACTCCAGTCTTCAGTGTCACATGATCTTCAGAAATCATAATAATATGCTGATTTGCTGCTCAAGAAACATTTCTGATTATTATCAATGTTGAAAACAGTTGTGCTGCCCAATATTTTTGTGGAAACTGTGATGCATTTTATTTTTCAGGATTCACAGATGAATATAAAGTTCAAAAGTACAGCATTTATTTGAAATAGAATCTTTTGTAACATTATAAACAGCTTTACTGATACTTTTGATCAATTTAATGCGTCCTTGATGAATAATAGTATTAAAATCTTACTTTACTAAGTGTACAGTCTCTGAATTACTAGTCCTTGTGAGTGTAGCTCAGTAAAGTTAAACTCACTCGTCTAAAACAGCATGTTCATGCTCCTCAGTGTCTTTAATGAGAGGCGTGCCGTGGACAGTATTTGATGGGGTTTGAAAAGGGCTTTTGGGAAATCTTAAACTGACACTTAAACATATGGCTCTGAATTACAGGCACTGTGTCAGATTTCCGTCGGAGCCACTCCCAGAGTGCATTGCAACACGTTTAAGAAATGCATTATGGGATGTTTTATGCTCATATAATATGAGCCACACCTACTTACAAAAACATAGTATATGTATTTTAAAATTTGCTTAAGAAAGTAAACGAAAGTGGTTTTTAAGCATGTTGGTATGCGGCAAACATTTGCAATTACTTCTTTATTGCCGGCATCGACTACAATGATTTTAGCATCTAAAATTAGTATGCTACACCACTAGTAATGATGGTCTAAACAAATGAAAACGATGACAGATTTGCTTCTCCTCTTAGAAAACGTTCTTGCATTATTAGTGTCCTGAAACATCAGTACAGATGTCTCTACTGCACCGCTGCCAATGCAAACAGAGCAGAGCGAAGACATTTGGGTCTGTTATGGGCGAATAATTGCACACATGTTCTCCGCTGGATCTCATGAGAGCCGTGGCTTGGCATTGTTCACTCTGATGAGCTCCAGATGGAGGA